ATAGAGAATACTTCATGGAAAGTGCTGGCGTACGGTATTCACACACGAGTTGTTTTTACAACGAGTGGTTAAATACCGTACGAAGCACTTTACATGTGGTATTGTGTTTATTGTATACATACTGAGACTTTCATCATTTTGGTGGCCTTTTTATTTTAAATATTTCCAAAATGCTTAAATTTGCCGCTACACACCCGAGAAATAACAATGAAAACGAAGTATCAGCTTTTTAGTAGAAACGTTTCTTAGAAACATAAATGACGGTAAGGATATGAGCTAATCCAAGAACTGCAATATCTTAACTGTTTGTTCTGAATGTACAATTGAAAATGAGTGAATTTAAGTAAGATGGCCGGTTTCAATACAAACTTAAGCTTATAATTGGAAGACAAAGTAGCTCCGACAAAAAGAACAATATAAGCTTACGTCTTGTTCTGTTTTGCCCCTTCCGCTGTTGTTTCGCCGGTTCTCCACAGTTTTCTTTATCGACGGTGAAACAAACGAAACTATTCCACTCCATTTCTGAAATATTTTTCACTTTTTTAACCAGAAAAAATTCGTTGAGAAAAACTTTGCTCCTCGAATGTGTGCAAAGCGGCGCTCAGCAAGCTGCAAGAAAAGGCGGAAATTTTGAAACTGGTATCAAAGCTGGAGTTGAAGAAACGGAGTACGAATTCAGCTCCGTGTTCCACTTACAGTTTCCAACCGGATTTTCCAAACATTTTTTTGTAAATTTTGAACAACCCACATCTCTGAAGTGGCAGTGGAAACTGACATGACGAGGAGAAAAATGAGCACACAGTGCACTGACAGTGGCGACTTTCTCCATTGGAAGGCATTCAACTGTCTCAATAAGTTATCGTCTTAGTTGTCAATGCACAGAAACCGTTTCAGTGCAGAATAAACATGGTTAACCAGGGTATGAAATTTTAAACTCTCTTTTCAGTCGTCAACAAAAAAATACAAACAAACAAACAAGTCGAAAACGGTTTACTAGACATTATTTACGAGCTGAGATCCTAAAAAAATTGGAGTTTTTAACGAACAGGATTATCACATGCTATCAAAGTAAACAAATAGGATCCCTGAAAAGCACCTACTTAAACAAGAAGGATCTCTGCGACAGATTCAGTGTTCAAGCCATACGGGATACCTCTTGCGCCTGCACGAAAACCACACCGGACAGGGCTTCTGTTCACACATAACAACGGTGATTTCGGCGCGATTTAAGTAACAGAGCGAAGCCTCGCCATTTGGTTCAATCACTCCCTGTCACATGCAATTAAATGAGCTCATTTTGACGCAAATGTTTCTTAAGCCCGGGCTTAATGAGTTAGGGTAGCTGTGCCAGTGACATTTTATTACCTTAAGCCGTCCGCGCATCGCTTATTGCTCACCGCTTTAGTTCCAAAGAGTGTAATAATCATTTGAAGCCAAAAACGACCCCTCCTGTTTTTTTTGCAATGAATCGAAATGGTAATTCCCCTATTTTTTTTGCGTTTTTATTATTAATGGGTACTCTTTACATTACTCTTTTCATTATATAATTACTATTGCGTGATTAACGATAGTTTTCGAAACACACACACAGTCACGTACACACACAAAACGAACAAACAAGAAACATGTGAGTTAACCAACAGCTAATATAATTCGAAACGTGTAACTTGCAAAGAAAGGATAGAACAGAGGTTTATTACCATATTTAATACCATTTTGATAGATTGGTAAAGTAAAATATGTCTGTTCTTTCAACTGCGCTCATCTAAACGAGCTGATTGATGTTTAGCCACGGCTAAAAGCGAAGCTCTCGATGATATTTATAGTTTGCTCAAACAAAATATAAAACCGTGTAATGCTAAGCGGCGAAGGCAACGCTGGAGAGCGGTGAAAAACAACAATAGGTCTAATTAACAAAAAAAACAACTTTGCACGTACAGCAAACTTTTTTTGTACATTTCTTTGCTATTGTTTTGCACGACTACAACGTGAAACTTCCAGAAACTTCTAAGTTGCACGTTTTATGGAGGAAATGTCGTACGTGTTCTCGTTCACTTTTTTTTTTTTTTTTTTTACCGCTCATTTTCACTTTGGTAGCCGCTAGCTTTTCTCATTTTGTCACCGCAGCTACAAAATTTTTCCAGTTGTTCTTCCAACAAAAAAAAATGTCTCCTTTGTTTTCTCTCTCTCGCTCTAGATCTCTGTCGCCCTTTTTCTCGTTGAGCTTCGCTGGCCTGCCGCCTACTTTCTCTTTTTCTCTGTCTTTCTCCTGCTCTATATTCCAAATTTGTGGACATGACAATGAATCTAAGCTAAAGACTTTAGACAACACGGATGCAGAAACGATTTCCGCTTTAAATTTTCGTCTTTATTGACTCTGTCTCTGCTTTACAAGACGCTGGCGGCTATGCGATTTCCCGCCGTTGCATTTGGGTTGCCATACCTGTTGATTGCGTTATTTTACAGTGGTATGCCTGTTGTGAGGACAAACGGTCGCTCGGGCGGCCGTTGTACAGTCGCGTGTTTACCAAATTTTCTCGGATGGGTAGATTACTTCATTTTATTACCCATGGTGATCCGCTGGCGCGTTTCGCGCGTGAGAGCTCTGCTTTTATCGAGGTCTTTGCCGGGTGTGTAGTTTTTCGTGGTTCGAGTTGGTGCCTGAAGGTTTCTTGACTCATGCAGTGAAAAATATTACAGACTGTTTCTGGTGACTTATATCATTCACAACTTTATAAAGAGAAGTAAAATGTAAGTAATTGAAAAATTTTAATATTTTCGGTATTTTTCTTTCTGTCTTTTTTTAAGTTTTCTTTTTTATATCAAAGGAAATGAAAAAAGGCAGCTGTAAATTAAACCTCCCAAGAGGAAGTATACAAAGAATTTTCAAAGACAAGAGGAAGTAGATTTATAAATATATGCGTTTAATCTAGACAACGGAAATTTTCCCTTTGTCATAGTTAGAAACCTTCAACAATAATCCCCTTAAGAGTTAAGCGTCAAAACCTTCCAGAAAGTTTAAGTCAGCATAATATGAAAATGATTGCACAAATAATTAAACAACTGCTACTTAGCACGAGCAATATAACTACAGGAACAAGAAACTACGAACGCTTATTACCATATTTAATACCATTGGTCTAAACATTTGGCAGTGGCAATAATGTCACAAACTTCTAATCACTTCAACCTGAAACTCAGGAGCTAATCTGCTAACTAAGGCAATTTTTATCGAAGCGGTGTTCCAAAGTTTTTCTGCTTTGAGTACACGGTCCGTTTGATAAAGACGTGTTACAGCAGACTGTTTCTAGTGATTATCCCACCTTTACAGAGAAAAGTGTGTAAATTAATGAACATTTTTTTTTCCTTTTCCAGGCTTTTGTCCATAAACTACAGCTGTAAACGTATCTTCGCAAGAGGTAGTTTTCTCACGAAAAAAATAACTAAGAGCCCTCTCAGTATGCACATATTCCTTGGAGTATGGTTAGTCGTTTAGAATTAAGCTATGGGCTCATATTTGATCATGTCCAGATTGAGGAATCTTGTGCAGTCCCAGTATAGAAAGTAAAACGTTGATTAAAATACTATAAACGATAAGATATAAGTAGCTTTAACACATCGCTTTAACTTTAGTTATTCTGGTGCAGGTGCACCTAGCGGGTTTGTATTTGAAAACTATATACTAAGGGCATCCTCATGAACCACTTTCACAGAATAGTATATCATTTTTAAATACCAACCTATCCTACGCTTCAAGAGGGTAGAGATTTTGAACTTTGCTTTTCTGTTGTTGTTTTATTTTGTTTTTTTTATCGCTCAAACTTACAAGACCAACTCTATTAAACTCCAAGCAATGTAGACAATAGCTTTGTTTAAAAATGAAGATTGCGTTCCACAAAAAAAAATTTGCATAAAACATTAATAAATCGAGGGTATTTGTTGTCAATATTAATCGCTCACTTGTCAACAGGCAGCGATCTGACCAGTCAGATCATAACACAAAGAAAGTGCAATGGCTCCATCGCCTTTTTGTCTCCCTCATGGGGGCTAAGCTCGGCTTGCTTCGCTCGACGATTTTCTTTTTCACCCCGCTCCACTTGCGAGCCTCTTCGCTGGCTACTACTTATGAGAAAATAAAATAAAAGGCTGTTTCAATTCCATTCAATCGGTAGGGGTGATTACGAACAACTTTTAATATTGAAAATTAAAAAATCTGACGACATCTCAACGAGGTAATACAGCTGTTTCGAGAAAGGTTCTCGGAAACACGCGTTTAAGTGTACGCGTCAACCCCTCATAATATTTTGGGCAGTGTTTTTTTGTTTTGTTTTTTTTTTTTAACTTGAAGGTTCTCAGCTTGCTTCAGCATTTCAGGGGAAGCTTAGAAAATGGTGTATGTATAAATACCCTTCCGCTGCTCCCGGAAATTTACCGATAAAACTACGCAAAAAAATCGTGTTCCAACAACAACAAATTGATTAATGAAGCTGGGTCTTTGTGCAGCTCCGATTCAGTGGAAGAACAAAGCGAAAATGAAGAGCAATCAGGTCGACCTATCCAGCGTCAAATTCCACAGTCACAGTGAGGGAGGGCGAAAACAGTACTTGTCAAGAATAATTTAAGCACAGCGTCCTTCCCTTTCGGATTTTTCATTCAGCTAAGTTTGCAAACGGCGCACCTCTGATGTGATTTTCCCTTGGTTTACCGGAAATCGGAAGTTTAACCATGCGTTTGGAACCTAAAAAAAAATTAATAAAACAATTATTCCATTCGCGTTTGTTGGATATGAGATAATTATAGCCAACTCAGCGCTACGCGCCTCGTTGGCTAGTACCACCTCATATCCAACGCGCTCATGGAATTAGCAATTAATGAATGAGGCTGAGTAGGATATGAAGAATTGAGCAGATCGAGGAGGGTGTTATCCACAGAGGCCGAAGGCCGAGGTGGATAATAATGGTGGATGATGATGATGATGATGGTGGATGATGAAGATGATTATGGTGGATGATGATGATGATGATGATGATGATGACGATGACGATGACGATGACGATGACGATGACGATGACGATGACGATGACGATGACGATGACGATGACGATGACGATGGCGATGGCGATGGCGATGGCGATGGCGATGGCGTTGGCGATGACGATGACGATGACGATGACGATGACGATGACGATGACGATGACGATGACGATTACGATGACGATTATGATGTTGATGATGATACTTATTATGATTATTATTTGAGGAAGATGATGATGACGATGATGAGGAGGATGGGGATGACGATGATGATGGCGAGGGAGAAGGCGATGGCGATGGCGATGGCGAGGGCGATGGCGATGGGGATGGCGATGGGGATGGCGATGGCGATGACGATGACGATGACGATGACGATGACGATGACGATGACGATGACGATGACGATGACGATGACGATGATGATGATGATGATGATGATGATGATGATGATGATGATTATTATATTTCTTTTGCATTGCTCATCGCTTTAGTTCCAAAGAGTGTAATAAACATTTGAAGCCAAAAACGACCCTTCCTCGCCTTTTGGCAATGAATCAAGCAAAGTAATTCCCCCATATTTTTTGAGTTTTTTACTCTTAATGAGTACTTTTTTACATTTCTCATTACAGTATATAATTACGCTTGCATGATTAAAGATAGTTTTCAGAACACACATACAAAACGAACAAACAAAAACCAAATGAATTAACCAGCTGCTAATATAATTCAAAACGGGTAACTTTGACAGAAGGGATAGAACAGAGGCTAATTACCACTTTCAATACCGTAACGATTAGGGTTAAACTTGTCATTCTTTCAACTGCCCCTGTCTAAACTTCTGTGCAAATTGATGTTATTGTTATCGAGGTCGTTTTGTCTAGTTTTTCGTGCTTCGAGTTTGTGAGAAGGTTTCATGACTTAGTGAAAAGTATTACAGACTGTTTCTAGTGATCATTCGCATCTTTACCTAGAGAAGTAAGTATATTTACAAAGTAATTGAAAAAGTTTAACATTCTCAGTAGTTTTCTTTCTTTCTCTCATTTTATGTTTTGATATCAAACGAAATGAAAAAACGCAGCTGTAAATTTATCCTCTCTAAAGAAAGTGTTCAAAGAATTAAAGAGAAGCTAAAAGCGCTCTTTGAAAAAAAATAAATAAATAAATCCCTCTCATTTTGGTCACACGTCTCAGTTAAATTAGGTGTAAAACGTCTTTTAGAAACAGGCGGCAGAATTTAAAACTGCTTATGCTTATCTCCCAGAACTTATCATTCAGACATGCCATTTGTTACTCTAGAAAACCTGTACAACAACAACAAAAAGGAAATAATGCTACGTTTGAACTACATAACATAAATTTCCCCTTTTGTCATGAGAAATGTACAACAATAACATATATAACATACTTTTTTTTTCTTTTCACAGGCTTTTTTCAATAAAAATACAGTTGTAGATTTATCTTCGCAAGAGATGGTTTACTCACGAAAAGAATAACTAAGAGCCCTCTCAGTATACACATATTCCTTGGGGTATGGATTAGTCGTTTAGAAGTAAGTTATAAGCTCATATTTGATCATGTCCAGATTGAGGAATCTTGTTCAGTCCCAGTATAGAAAGTAGAACATTGATTAAATACTATGAACGTCAAGATATAAGTAGCTTTAACATATCGCTTTAACTTTAGTCATTCTGGTACAGGTGCACCTAGCGGGTTTGTATTTAAAAACTATACACTAAGGGCATCCTCACGAATCACTTTCACAGAAGAGTTTATCATTAATACCAACATATCCTACGCTGCAAGAGGGCAGAGCTTTTGAAATTTTTGCTTTTCTGTTGTTCACACTGTCGTCTTATTCTGTTTTTTAACCCTCCGACTTACAATTTCCTAAAACAGTAAAAAGATCGAAACATGGCTTCAAAGCTTTATATTTAATAACCGCTGACACTTTTTGGATAGCTTCACTGGATAACCTTGTTTTAATTTCTTTAGGGTGATTTTAGCAACCCGTATATCCATTTCGGCATTGTTTAGTTAGGAAACGCATTTGCTGTAAAATTATCATTTTTAGTTGATTCGGAGCTTTGACTCTTTCACAGAAGAGTATCCAATGCCAACATATCCTACGTTGCGAGAGGGTAGATACCTTCGAATCTTTGCTTTTCTGTTGTCGCTGTGTTGCTGTTGTTGTTAATATTGTTTTAATACGTTTCGTACTTAATTCCGTTTTCTTTTATTACCCCAGATCCTATTAAAAAAGCAGGAAAATAAAACAACGACAACAACTGCAACATATTGAACTGAACGATGTCGACTAATGAGACAAAAAACATCTGGTTTGCAGTGTGGCTTACTGAGTTTCTTCTGATGTTTATAATCAATGCCTTCACTCTCATTATCCTTGCAAGAACCCTCCAGCTACGCAAGCGCAGTACGTACCTGATAATAAACCTGACTGTAGCTGATCTACTGATAGCAGCCGTTTCAGGACCTGAAACCATTCTGTTTTTTATACGAAACAAAAGACCAAACAAAGGCTTCGGGATTTTATATTCAATAATCTCTGACATGTGTTGGATAGCTTCGCTGGGTAACCTAGTTTTAATTTCTTTAGAGCGATTGCACGCAACACTATACCCATTTAGGCATTATTGTTTAGTTGGAAAACGCATTTATTATAAGATTATCATTTTTAGTTGGCTGGGAGCTTTGACTCTAGCATGTGTTCCACACATCATTCGCATGAATGATTCGGCCCTCGCAGATGGATACCCCTGGATAATTTATATTTTTCTTACCCTTACAGTGCTAACAACATCTAACGTTATAATAATTTCAAAATTTATTAGAAGACCTCATGTCCGGCAGTTAGGGTCAGTTATGGCAGCAGAAAGAAAACTTTCAGTAACTTTATTCATAGTTAGTGTAATTTATATTTTTCTTACCCTTACAGTGCTAACAACATCTAACGTTATAATAATTTCAAAATTTATTAGAAGACCTCATGTCCAGCAGTTAGGGTCAGTTATGGCAGCAGAAAGAAAACTTTCAGTAACTTTATTCATAGTTAGTGCTGCCTCTATACTTACTCTTCTTCCCTATGTAATAATTATTTGTATCTCGATAATTTCAGACCGTTACTTATGGATTAAGTTCACACCTACAAAGATAGCATCAGCATTTTATCACCTTAATTCTATATTGAATCCAGTGATCTACGCAATTAGATTGCCAGAATTCAGGAGAGCTATGAAGGAGCTTTTCTGCAAAAACACTTCGTATCTAGTAAGGCGGGTCCAACCTATTGAACTGCAAGCAATGTAGGCATGGACTATATAGGCAGTTTTGTGGATTAATCAATTATATGTAAATATTAAATGCATCCATCGAATATTGACTATTAAGATCCCTCAAATGTAGGCAATAGCTTTGTTTAAAAATGAAGATTGTATTCCACCAATGGAAATTTGCATTAAACATTAATAAATCGACAGGGTATGTTTGGTCAACATTCATCACTCACTTGTCAACAGTAAGCGATCTGACCCAACAGATCATAATACAAACAAAGTCTAAAGGTTCCCCCGCCTTTTGTCTCTCCCAAGCTACGCTTGGCTTGCCTCTTCGCTCGCGAGTTTTCCTTTTCTCTCCGGTTAAAAGAGGAGCATGTTCGCTGGCTACAACCTACCCAGGGAATAAATTAAAGGCTTTGTCAACTAAAGTGAATCAGAAGGGGTAATTACGACCAACTTTTTTAAAAACCCTGACGACATCTGAACAAGGTAAAACAGCTACTCAAGAAACGTTAACCCCTTATTTCTGGTATTGCGGATAGTGTTTTTAAATTCCCGGTTCCCAGCTTACTTCAGCATTTCAGGAAAAAACTTAGAAAAGGGTGGATGTACTTAACCTTGCGAGTGTGAATATCAAAAAATTAAGTTCGAAAGCCATAGTGTCAAGAACTTTCCTCATTTTGATACTGTTGTTGATTTGAAGCAATATATCTGATGTTTTGATCAAAAACGATTTCTTAAAACATAAGCAAGCGAATATTAACGGTAAAAGCCGACGTTTCGGTATCATCATGACACCATTCTCAAGACAAAATGAATAAATAATGCGAAGATTTGATTTCTATAGTCTCTACAAATTAGCATTATTCATTATTCTTGTGATCCTTTGTTATTATGCTAATTTGTAGAGACTATAGAGATCAGATCTTCGTATTATTTATTCATTTTACCTTGAGAATGGTGTCATGATGATACCGAAACGTCGGGTTTTAACGTTAATATTCGCTTGCTTATATCTGATGTTGTTATGTAAAAACAAAACAGTGATAATATAAGAAAAAAAAAATAAAAGAAAATTCCTTCCCAGAGAGTGAGCTCAGCTGCCTCACCCAAAAGAAAACCGATTAATTAACTGTATTCAAAGCGCTGCTTCTTCACCTACTCTTTTTCCTTAGCCTAGTTTTTATATGTCGGGAAAATACCAGACAATCAGGGATTTTACTGTTTCCCGACTGTCCCAGATTTTGCCGACTAATGAAAACTAGAAAAGGTAGATATTCCCGATCGTCTGGGATGGACGGGGACAAATCTGGAGAATCGAGAGCGTTCCCATTTTCCGAGGCGTCCCAGATTTCTGCGATAGTCGGCGATCATTCCCGACAAATGAAACTCACATTTTTCCATCGGGGACGTGGGGCGATGGATTTCGCACATTTACCAATCTCCTATTTGCTGAGCTCCAGTCCCCTATCGTAAATAAACACAAATAAACATGGCGTTTCTCGAAAATTCGAGTCATTGCTATCTCAAATCTCTTGCCCAAGAAGGAAGAAGAATGACATGGTATTTTTAGTTAGCCTCTACTTTTTCAGAATGGAAAAGCTTGCATTGACGAGTGCAAGAACACAGATGTATTGAGAACGACGCAGCATAAGCTCGTGTGCATCAATGTTGCTGTATAAGTGCTGTTACATTTGCGTTCAAGACTCAATTTTTGGCACACTTTCCATTTCCCGCCAAGTTCATAATAGGGAGAATCTGGGACAGTCTTCTGGCGATCATCCGGTATATAGGCAAAATCTGGGATGGTCGAGGAAAAGTAAAATCCCCGATCGTCTGGGAATTTTCCGACATACGAAAAAACAGCCTTTACTTCAGTGAGTTCACTTCACTCATGGCTGAACAATAGACCTTTCCTCGGATTATTATTATTATTATTATTATTATTATTATTATTCTCATTATTTATTTTTTTTTTATCTTATGGCAAAAATCCCTCAACTCCGCTGAAAAAAATGCATTTAAATTTATAAAATTGCTAAGTTTGAAAGTGATTTGTTGAAAGAGCTCCCCAAAGTCGCGTGGGCCCCACCATACAACCCTCACCAAACCATATGTATTTTGAAACTGATTTTAAAGTATTCAAAATGTATTTTCAGTATTTGAACACTGTTTTCCTGTATTTTAATCGTATTTGACAGAAAAAATTAAATTTTCGCCCCTGTTTGAAATATATCTTAAGTGTAGTTAAATTATATTTCATCAAAAGGAAAACCTCTCTCATCAATTTACAATGTATTTTGTTTAATAAATATGATTAAAATAGGGTATTTAAAATGCATTTTGGGCATAGAACGTAACCACTAACACTGTTACAAACAGAGTTCTAATAGACTATTTGAAATATGTTTTAAGGGCTTAAATGCGACTGTATTTTAATTACTTTTAAATGGAGTACTTTAACACTGTTTTGAGTTGTATCTAAAATGTATTTTGAGACGCATCCTTTCACAAAGTTACAAACAGAGTTCAAATAGACTATTTGAAATACGTTTTAAGACCTTAACTACTGACCGCATTTTAAATACTTTTAAATACGATACTTAGACACTGTTTTGAGGTCTATTTAAATTGTATTTTGGGCACACAACACTCTGACTATAAAAACAGATTTTGTCATAACCTATTTTTAAAGTATGCTTAAAGACATCAAATGCTCACTTTATTTTAAATACTTTGAAATGGGGTACTTATTACTTATCATTATTGAGGTGCAATATTGTAATGTATTTTGGGATACTTATACTCAGACTACAAAAGTAACAATTGCACAAAGTTAATTTTTGAGCCTTTATCGTGTCACGAACTCATAAATGACTCAAAACAAGCAGTCAGATATTGTGGACCGGATTCTTCTCTTATCAAAGTTCGAAGCTGAGCGAAAAATTAAATCTCCCAGCAAATCAAAAAGAAATTGATAAAAAAGAAGAAAATTAGCAATAGATTTTAGCTTTGACTGACAACACGTAACTGTGACAGTGTGTCGATAAAAGATCAATCCTTTCCTCAACGTTCATTACCTGCAAGCTCTCTGCAATTAATGCAGTTACGGGACATTCCATAAGTTTTTTTAAAAGAATCTTCTTAAAATCGCATTTTAATTTCATATAGAAATTTTTCACAAACAGCCAAAGCCGGGGCCGAGAACCGGATGCACGCGGTCGAAAGAGGTTTGTCTAAAATAAGCCCTTGAAATTACAAAATAAACAAACTATCCAAGCAAAGATCTCACCTCGTTTATATTGCACCAAGAAACAACGCTCAGATCTGAATAAACTTCGACAAATGGTTATCTTTCTCTCATAGATTATTCCGCACATGCATGGCATATTATTTCTGAGATGTCACGCGCGACTGAAATCACGACTTCGCGGTGAAAATGTATGTTTTTCAACTTCTTTCAGCGATAAAAGTAAAGCTTGTGGATAAAATGATTCAAAGTACTTATTTATGTGTTATTTTACATGTCAAGCCAACAAAAAATTATCAATTCTCGCGGTTTTTACCTGATTTCTAATTCTTGAAAAAATCCAGGATGGCGACCATATTTAATGACGTCACAGGCCTCCGGCAGCGCCACCACCAATAAACTGTACCTCATCTTGTTGAGAAGATCAAAGGTTTTCCACTGAAGGCAAAATCGTTTCGAAATACTGCAACGTGTCAAAAACGCTGGGGAGGAGTCCTATCAACCCGTTCCCCCCCCCGGACTACGTTGGGGGTATGACTTTGCGTGTACGTCCGAGGGTTTAGGTGAAAAGATTTTATATTATTCCAGGTCTCATTTAAAGCAAAGAACAAGGAAAAACCTACTGACATATGTTTAAAGGATGTCGACTGATGCGACGAAGAACATCTGGTTTGCAGTGTTTCTTACTGAGTTTATAGCGATATCTATAATCAACGCCTTCACTCTCGCCATCTTTGCAAGAAGCCGCCATCTACGCAGACGCAATACGTACCTGATAATGAACCTGAGTGTAGCTGATTTCTGGGTTGGAGCCGCAGCGGTACCTGAAACCCGTTGATTTCTTAAAACAGTAAAAAGATCGAAATATGGCTTCAGAGCTCTATATTTAATAATCGCTGGCATTTACAAATAGAGGAAAACAACTCGATGGGCAGTTTTCACCGGTTCATCTTGGGTTCCCTAAAAGGCTAAAAAAAATATTTTAAACCCTGGCGATAATCAGCAAAAGGAGGGGAAAAAAAACGAGGAAATTACAAATTTTGACTAAAAGAGTCAAAGAGCTTACTTTTCGGCAGTAAGTCTCAATTCCGTTGTTATGTTTAAAATTACTCGCCAGATATTGTCTATTGATTCTTATTGTATGCGACAAACAACTGAACCGTATATCACTTGAAATTTTGTCTTTAGTTTTTATCACTGTTGGTAAAAAAAATTATTTCACTGAAAAGAAAGAAAGCATTTCATCGTCCACATATAATGAGACTATGACATCTATACAATCCATCATTGATTTTCTGCCATTGAGTACGTTTCGTTCTAAAACAGTAGGGTAGTGAGTCCTACAGGAGGACAATGCATGACAACCACAGGGATCAGCTTAATTCTTCAAAAATTCAAAATATTCAAGCAAAGTATTTTGAAGTTTTTAGCAAGCTTACTCCTCGTAGACGTTCTTTCAAACTTTAGCCTACTTCTTGGCAAGGTTTCACTGAACTTAATTTTCCCTGAAGATGTTTTGCGTATTTCTGCATTTCTTCCTTTCATTATTAGTCCGAAGTTCAGCTTTTTTGTTTTCGGATAGCTGTGAACCCTTTTTTTTTTTAACAGGCTCGGCGCGAACGGCTTAAAATTTATGTCTCCAGGTAAATTTTCCATCGAATTGATGGAGCCAATCAGAAACGGAAATAATTTGAATGAATAATAACATGGATCATTATACCGTGTGACATGGAGTCTCCTCGGAATCATAACTTGATTTTGCTTTTATACTTATCGCCACC